CAATAAACCAATGGACATCATATTTTAATGAGAAGTATCCATTCTTTTTATGAATTACAGATAAACAATAGAAAATAACTCTACAAATATATTGCCAAGAAATAACATTTCTTGATCTTTCTTTTAATAATACACTTATTCCTTTTTGACATAATGGACAAAAGCAAAGTTTTAAATGATATGGTTCATTTTCATCTACTATAGGTGTTGAATCAATAGGGTCAAAAGAAGGGAATATTTTTGAATTACAATATTGATTCATTGGTATTGCTTGCATTAAATAATAAAAGTTCTTTCCTTTCATTCTTTTTATACCTTTGAAATGACAGTATGAAAAACTAAAAGGCAATAATAGGATTAATCTCGTTAATTATTTTGTTCCTTATATCTTTTTAGTTCTACTTTCATTATTAACTTCTTCTGTTTTTTCAGAAAAAGAGATACACAAAAATAGAAATCGAAAATATTTTTTATTTTCTATTTTTGGATTATTTTGTGAGATTAACAACTTGTTTTTTGTTTTGATTGTATATAAATAAAAATAATTAAAGATATTATAGAATTAGTATCGTTATTATTTGTATCCAAATTAAAAGTCTGAATGAAAGGAAAAATTGGTTTGAAATAAAAAATTGTTTTGTTCCTTTAATAATAATTTAATGTGTATAAAATGTTATATATAACAAAGATATATATTTTAAATAAATATAAACATTGAATTATTGTTCAAAGTCATGAATTAAGAGATCTCCATAAGATTGAGAAACAATAATATATCTATCATTACAAGTAAAACTTTTTATTTTATTTTCAGTTTTAAAAAGTGTTTGTGGTAATTTCATTTGATTATTAACAATCCAAGTTTGAACAACATCTTTTTCACTTGAATAAGAAATAATTTTTCTATTAAATAATTCGAATCCTTTAATTTGACCGATATGAGTTCTTCTATCATATTCTCTTCCATTTATTCTCATATCCCACATTCTAATAATATTATCATTTCCGATTGAAATGAAATGATTATCAAATCCCTGAATATCTATTACACCACCAATATGACTAACAAAACTAAAACAATTTTTATTATCTCTTTTATCTAAAATTTCTATTCTACCATTTTCTTTACCAATAATAATTATATTTTCATTATCATAAACACACGCAATACCATTTTGTATATCACTTCTCCAAAGTTCATTTCCAGTTTGGCATTCATATTGAATAATTTCATTTCCAATATGAAAAATAGTAATTCCATTAAACCCAAATTGAATCCTTCCATATTCTTCTTCTATTTTTGTCATTTTTGTTGTTTCTTCAAAATTTATATATTTTCTTATTCCTCCTGTTTTGTAATAAACATATAACGTATCTTCATCAACTCCTCTTTTCATACTAACTATATTTCCATAACTCTGCATTCTACTTATTTTTCCATTAAGTTCTATTTTCATTAACTTCTTTCCATTGGAGGCTATAATACTATTATTCATAATAATAACATTATCAATAGGTTGTTGTAGTGAAAGTAACTTTCCATGTGTTTTACCACAATTTCTATGTCTTTTGCAATAATATAAAAATTCACTGCGATAAAGATGAGACGTTAATTCTTTATTTGGATATCGTTTATCGAATGTATGTTTATTTATATACTGTTCATATACTTTTTTATAAATTTGGTTTGATGCTTCAGACGTTAATGCAGCACGAAATTTTCTACAGACAAATGGAAGAACAAAAAGGTCTCTTGGACCAAGAAACCAAAACACTTTAAGT